AATGCGCAGTCAATTTAAGTTTTGCTTCTGTTTTCCTAACTGGCTCTGTATTCTCTCATTTTCGAATTTCATTGACTTGCTGTCTTTCAGGAGATACAAAATAATTTCTCTTTCCCTCCCTCCCTATTTTCGTCCGACTTTCCTGTTTTTTGCTTATAGTGGTCCCTTGTATGCCTCCTGTTTAATTGGGTGAAAAATAATGGGAAAAAGGTTGTATTGGTTGCTGGTTGCAGGCGCTTAACCGTTTTGGCCTTCGCGTTGTCTTGGACGTTGTTTACAATCACTTGCATGGTAGTGGGCCCGTTGATGATAATTCTGTTCTTGATAAGGTCGTGATTTGTCATTAGATGCCATATAGACTGCTGTCATGTCTTATATGTCTTCCTGATTGGTTTGTCCATTCTTCTGTTGTGATTTTAAGTTTATTTACAGATTGTTCCAGGATACTACTTGAGAAGAAATGCAGATGGCTTTATTGAGCATAGTACATGTGTGAACAACACTGCTAGTGAGCATTTTATGGTTGAGCGCTTAATTGTTGATGATCTATTGCACTGGGCAGTTGATTATAAGGTGAGAGTTTACTCGTCAAATGGTGTCTTAAATACCTCAAAGCAGCTTCTCATAGTCACATTTGAAATGAAAACTCTTTTATCCCTGGTCAGCATGAATTATTATTTTTTTCATATGTATAATGTGTACTGATTTATTATTGGATTGTAAAAGGTTTGAACTTTTATCCTTTTAAGTTTTAACGGGAGATTCTGAAATGATTAATCATCTGACTATTTTGGCAGGTTGATGGGTTCCGGTTTGATCTTATGGGTCATATAATGAGAAGAACAATGGTATTTTACTCTAATAAGCCAGTTACATGGTGCAATGAGTGGATGTGCAATAGCCATGGGCCTAAAGATACTAATTTGTGCACAGGTGAAAGCAAAAGATGCACTCTGCAGCCTAACAAAGGAAAGGGATGGAGTTGATGGTTCAAGTATCTACATGTAAGTTTCGAGCTACTCAATATTTTCATTTAAGACACTTTCTATTATTGTGGCTATGGAAATTGGTGCTTGAATTTTTTT